ACTATTTATGTTATAAACAGAATGTGGACTATCTATTTGTATATACGAAAATATAAGTTCTCACTTTGAAATAAGACAAAAAGAATTCTTTTGCGTTCTTGCAATTCAATTGCGAGATCGCGAGTGTACAGCGATCGCGCTGCGACTTTGCGACATCATAGCGATCGCGCCGCGAGTCTCACAAGATACTATTTTAAAAAAATACGATTTTAGCGAGATCGCGCCGCGACAACACGACTGTATAGCGATCTCTTCGCGACAAGCGCGAGATAATAGCGATCGCGATCGCGCCGCGAGTTAGTCGCGACTGTTGAGTAATAGAAAAGATAAAAAAACGATTGCAAGGGACAAGAGCACTTACCATTATAATGTTGTTTTTGGATCATTAATGTCACAGTTTTATCTGATTGAAGTACCAAAACATAACGTCTGTCAGAGTTTGTTTTACCATAAGCTTTTTCGGTTTGATTTGGTTGTAATCCTAAATAACATGCAACATTTACAGAAAAACAACGTCTAGCCAGGTAAATATTTTACTATTTTATACAAAGTCTTTCACTGATTGCTGGATGATATGCATAACTGCTGAAAAATCATCGCCACGTGGTGGTGCTTAATCCAAATAAGGTATATTTGGCTTTTCTTGTAAATGCTTTTCTTTTTTTTTCTTTTGTTGAGCTTTGATTTTTTCTATTTATTTCTTTAACATATATTCTAGTAAACCATCTACCATTTTGAATTCCTATTGGTTGGCACACACCCAGGTCGAACCCACACGGCAGTAAACTGCAGTTTACGTCAAAATACGACGCAAGGAACCGTGGAGAAGGATTACGGCTGTCGTAAGCTGTGGTTTATGATGAAATACGACAAAATACGATGACAGTATTGCGACCATGGTAATACTTCTCCACGAAACATGCCAGATTACAATGAAATACTATCGTAAACGTCAAAATACGACGTCGTAATTTGACGTATTACGACCGTTTACGATCGTCGTAATCATCGTCCAGGGCAGAATCAGTTGAACCTTATTCCGTTCGCATGATACTTTTTAGTGCTCAAATACTCAATTGACCACTGCAAAGCATTTCTTTTAAAGTTAGATAAATCAGACAGAAGGAATAAAGAGCAAAAAACACAATATCCGTGTTTAGGCGCGAAAAACTACGGTAGTAGCGCCTGAATATGGCTCCTAAAACCTGGAATAAAATAACTTTTTTTTCTGAATTTCCCTTTTCCAAATTTTATACTGAGTTAATATAAAATTAATTTTAAGATTTTTGATATATATCTGAGTTTGTTTCTCTGAGCCTGGCAAAAGTTCATACTTCTGATATGCATATTATTTGTCCTATTTCTTTTTTAAACTTTTATTAGAGAGACGGAAGTGTCGCAGTGCTACAAGTTAATAATTACACAAAACAGTTACAACATGGTTGGATTAAAAGTATCAATGTAGATAAAATAAATAAATACACTGAAGCTAAAAAAGAAACGCTTAATTGTGAGAAACCACACGTTAACCGAAAATGTGATTGAAATTGTTCTTCTATTCAAAGCACGAGAAAGGTAAAGAAGTTAATATTGGCTGCCCGGAATAAATACCGTAACCATTATTGATTCTCATAGTTCCGTATACCGTTTTTAATGGTGGTTTAGCTATAGTAAGACAAATAGCACATCAGAGTCGTTTCAAAAGAAAAAGTGGCACATGAGCATCTGTACATATTATTTAATTACCAAACAAAGGCAATTCAACTATCGACTGATCTTCTTCGGTTTATTTAAAATATACGAAAATGAACACAGAAAATCGGCTTGTGCAGGCGTTATACTGTTATGTTTTGACTACTAAGTTTCTGACTTTTTCTAGTAATTAAATCAGCTAGAGAATTCATTCGTACTTTAAGAAATGTGACTCTGTGCTCCTGAGACGGCCTTATAATATGAACTGATTTGGTTTAGGCGTTGCGGAGAAAAAAGTGAAACAGGGAACCGGGTGTTGTTAGGTTATTCCTTTCAGAATCGTTTTGCATCCAATGGTTAATAGCCAAAGAAGAATGTAACTGTTACACATACTTTATTTCAGCAAATTAACAACTATATATAGTATATCTCAGCTACAGGAACATTCCTCTGGGAAACTGGGAAAAACAGCTATTGTACAAGAGAGAGAGAGTGA